CCATGCCGGGCGTCAGAGGCGTCAAGGGCGGCATATCCTCCGTGGGTAGTTTTCTCTTGCGTGGGCGCCCCTTCTGCGCCGCGCCCACGCCGTTGTAGTAGGCCAGGCGGGGAGTGGCAGGGGAAAGGGGCGGGTATGCCATGCCCGGGGTCACGCCCACGGCTTCCATCTCGGCTTCTGACTGGAGGATAAGCTCGTAGTGCGGGCGGCAGTAGACCGCCCCGTCGCGCATCCCGAAGTGGTCGCCTGAGGGAGACGAGGGAGGGCGGTGAGGGAGCCGAGCTTGAAGTCAACATGATTTTTGGAAATGGTTTTATATATCTACTATTTACTTACTTAATTAAGGTATTTATTTTTTAACAAAAAAGTTATATACCCCCCCCCCCCCAAAAAAAAAAACAAGCTGTACATAGTAATTATACTACTAATAATAGCCCACATTTACATACAAGAAGAAAGAAAAGAAAAAGAAAAAAAAAGACAGAGCGTAAAACACCATTGTTATTACTGATAACAAGAACAAGAACACCGACAACAACAATTAGAAAAAAAAGAGAGAAAAAAAAAAGGTAAAAATTATAAAAAATAACAATGGTGATGATACTAATAATAGAAATAATAACAATACGAGTAAGGATAATAACAATGCTAATAATACTGACAATGATAATAATAATAAAAACAATGATAATAATAACAACAACAATAATAGTAATAACAATAATAATAGCAATAGTAACAACAATAATAGTAACAACAACAAAACAACAACGATAATAATAATGATAACAAAACAACAACGATAATAATAATGATAAAGATAAAAATGATAATAATAACAATAGTAATAGTAATAGTAACAATAATAATAATAATAACAACAACAACAATGATAGTAATAATAATAACAATAGTAATAATAATAATAATAATAATAATAATAATAATAATGAAAGTAATAATAATAATAATAATGATAATAATGATAATAATAATAATAATAATAATAATAATAATAACAATAATAAAAAAACTATAATGATGATAATGATACTATTGCTAAAACTAATAATAATGATACTACTGCTACTACTACCATTACTACTACTACTACTAATAATAATAACAATAATAATAATAATAATAATAACAATAATAATAATAATAATAATAATAATAATAATAATATTATTATTATTATTATTATAATAGTAATAAAAATGATAATGATAACAATGCTACTCCTAATAATGATGATGATAATCATAACAGCAATTATAAAGATGATAATAATAATACAAACTATAATAATAATTATAACAATGGTAGCAATAATAATAATAGTAATAATAATAATGATAATAATGATAATAACAAAATAATAAAACAACAATAACAATAACAATAATGACGATAGTAATGATGAAAACTAAACAATAAAGAAGATAATTATAAATAAACGTTGTAGCATTATAACAATAAAAATCTCGACGAGGACGATAGCGAGAATCACAAGCACCACAAAGAGTCCAGCATGAGTCCCCCCTACCCCCCTCACCCCACCCACAACCCAGCACCCCCGTAACTCCGTCCTTCCCTCTCCTATCTCTCCCCTCTTTCTCTTTCTTTCTCCCTCCTTCTCTTTCTTTCTCCCTCCCTCTCTTTCTTTCTCCCTCCCTCTTTCCCTCACTCCCTCCTTCCCTCTCTCCCCTCTCTCCCTCCCTTCCCTCCTTCCCTCTCTCCCTCCTTCCCTCCCTCTCCTCTCTCCCCTTCCCTCACTCCCTCCTTCCCTCCTTCTCCTCTCCCCTCTCTCCCTCCTTCCCTCCTTTTCCTCCCTTCCCTCCTTCTCCTCTCTCCCTCCTCCCCCTCCCTTCCCCCTTCTCCCCCCCCTCCCCCCCTCCCCATCGCCGCAGACTCATCGATACGCCAAACGTCGCGTGAGAGAGTGCACATCTGCCGCGCCCTCGCCAACTTAATAATGCATTTTCCGCCTTTACAAAACTAATTACCGACATTTTCAAGTTCGGTTCAGCTCGTTAAGCGGGAGCGAGCGAGGTGGGTTTTGGGCGAGTTGAAGGAGGAGGAGGAAGGGGAGGAGGAGGAGGAGGAGGAGGAGGAGAGGGTGTGAGGAGGAGGAGGGGGAGGAGGAGGAGGAAGGGGAGGAGGAGGAGGAGGAGGAGGAAGGTGGGAGGAGGAGGAGGAGGAGGAGGATGAGGAAGGGGGGGAGGAGGAGCAGGAGGAAGGGGGGGAGGAGGAGGAGGAGGAGGGTGGAAGGAGGAGAGGGTGGGAGGGGGAGGAGGAGGAGGGGGAGGAGGAAGGGGGGGAGGAGGAGGGGAGGAGAGGGTGGGAGGAGGAGGAGGAGGAGGAGGAGGAGGAAGGGGAGGGAGGAGGAGGTGAGAGGAGCTGGAGGAGGAGGGGGGAGGAGGGGGAGGAGGGGGAGGAAGAGGAGGAGGAGGGGGAGGAAGAGGAGGAGGGGGAGGGAGGAGGGGGAGGAGGAGGA